GGGGACATGTCCCCCTATCCCCCCCTCCCCCTGGATTTGCGCCCCTGCGAGTATGGCGTCAAAAAGTGGGTCACCTCTTTGGGAGTTGCAGAGTTCAGCTCCAAAATCGCACTCCGGAGACTGGCTGGAGATGCGGAATATCCGCAAGGATCTGTACTACCAGTGATGAAGAGGCCGCAAATATATGTACTACCAGTAGTAGCATCACACAACCCAGAAGCAGGACAGGAAGGCAAATCAAATTCAACAGCAGATTTGCCGACTTCTGGGCATAAAGTCTGTACTTTTTCTTCAATTATTTGCCTCTAACAAGCATGACATGAAGGTGTATTTATTGCTCACCTAATAAATAGTGTGCATGAATAAAGGTTAATAAATGTTGTGTATTGGACTATTGGTTACTGTTTGCTTATGTATTATTCGGGTGCTGGCTGCAGGTTAAATAGTATTCCAGATGCCAGCCCAAAATTATGGAGTATTCCAGATGCCACTGAAAATTAGAGAGTATTCCGAATGCCAAAGGGGGAGGCATGGACCCCCTCATATATCTACTACTTCATCTACTACTTCACCTATATACGTACTACAGTCTACTTCATCTACTACTTCATCTAATACTTCATCTACTCCTGCTTATACTACTATTTCTAACCACGAAAACAGCATTTCTACCTTGAGCCTGCTGCACACGCGCTGTAGCTGTGCCAATTAACTTCCGCACTTGGAATTCCACAGCGCGTGCAGCGGGCTTTAAGGCACTATCTGCCATTAGACAAGCTGTTTAAGACAAGCTGATCATGATTTTTTTTTCAAGGTAAACAACTGCGTTTCTGTTATGAGTATATTTATGCTTAGTATAACTAACACAAGTTGGGGACCGCTGATAAAGCCGATGATGATGAAATGTTGATAAAAACTTCCATGCAGTACGCTTCTTATCAAAAATTGGCCGATAACATTTACTGCAAACTTAATTATATCAAGTCGTGAGTACGTCAAACCCATATGGATAGCGACGGATACATATCGATATCGATAGCGACCATAATCCATATAGATACAGGGCCGGTTCCAGGGTTGAGGCTAGACAGTATTTTTCCAGATTTAAAGGGCACATCGCCCAAAAAGGGCACACCACCCCACAGTGAGCGCAAAATTTCGAAGGGCACTTTGAAATCTAGACCGTATTTCCAAATACGGAAAATACGGTCTGAATCCGCCCCTGCTGATAGCGAACATATGCGATAGAGCAGTGGACCCCCATCCAATTGCGATGGTCCAAGGCTTTGCTTCATGCATGTCTATGCACACGACAACTTTGGCTACTGATTCTCAAGGATAATCAACAATTTTTACGCAGTCCTCGATGCAAAACGGACGCAGGCTTTTCCCGCCCGTTTGCTCCGCACTCGAGAGAGGGAGAGAGTCACACCACCGATCCGACGAACATAATTACATCTAATAATATCTAACATTTTGCTTCTACTTACTTAACTTAATTAATTAATTAATAATATTAATTAATTAATTAATTATATTAATAACTTTATTAATTTATTAAGTTAATGACGTAAAAGCGAAATTATTAATTAAGCCTAACTAATTAATTATATTAATTAATTAATTAATTATATTAATAACTTTATTAATTTATTAAGTTAATGACGTAAAAGCGAAATTATTAATTAAGCCTAACTAATTAATTATATTAATTAATTAATTAATGTATTAATTAACTAATTTAGCTACACAGGCACGTACTTGCTGGGCGGCCGGCGCATCTCCGAGTCGCTGAAGCCTTCGTTCTCCTGACCTGCGAGGTCAGTAGCCTCGTCGTCCGAGTTCTCCTCCAGTGACTCAGGCACTACATCAGTCAGATCGGCGTCCGTCACGTCCGACACCGAGTCTTCAATGAAACATTATTATTATTATTATTATTTACCTTGTTATTATTATTGTTTACCGATTACATTAAGCAGCACGAGGCAGCCGATTCCTATAGTACACACGAATGATAAATTTGTGGGTGATGCATTCTTTGCTCAATATAATTATTATATTTCATAATAGTTGACGGCAACCCGTTTGAGCATCCGCATAATGGCCATATTTTCCTATACGCCAGAGAAACAATACTTAACGTACGTTAACAACCAAACATGGCAGAACGTTTTACAGTCTACAACAATACGACACATTTTACACGCTGGTGACACGGTGGATGACAAAGTGACGGCGACAATGTGACAATTCTTATGCGAGCGATGCATTCTTTGCTCGTGCATAATAGTGAATAATATATATAGTGGATATAGTATCAAAAGCACATAATAGAGATTATCTCTATTGTGCTCTTGATAGTATATATAATAGTATAATATATATATATATATATATATGAATAGTATAATAGTGGGTGGCAATCCGTTTGAGCAGGTGCATATTGGCCATAACAAACAAACATGGCAGAATGTTTTATTAACTAACTACTTATAACTCTATCGATAGCAATTGGTAAGCACCACTGAAATAGGTAGTTCACATGTAAAATGGAACAAATGTTAATTGGCGTTTAGATTTTTGCATAACGCGTTTGCATCTACCAGGTTTTTTTTTAGATTGGATCCAGGTTATGAACATGCAACTAGCGTGTAAGACAACTATGTATACGTGAGGTCACACCTTGGTCCTTAAGCATATTTGCTGGCACTTCGCCCTGGCAATCCGTAGGCACTTTCTCTGCACACTTCTTATGGCAGTTGAACTTACAGTCTGTGAACAACAACCAGATGATGACAATGAACACTTGACATGAACAAACATACAACAACCGATGCCCATACTGCCATGAAAAACACAACTTAAAGGAAAAATACTCCCAAACAAAGAATATCCCTCCTATAGTGCGTTGACACTACTAACACCCGTACTTTGACTTTTTTACTTTTCACTCTCATAACTTTATTCTGATTCACAGATTGATTCACTCCAATCACGGCACATTACAAAAAAAAAACGACAAAAAAATGCGCCACCCAAAAACTCTCTCGATCCATTCCCCGCAGGTGGCGCCGCCGCCGCCGCCGCCGCCGCCGCCGCCCTACCTTTGCACTGCAGGCCCTGTCGGAAGAGACCCTTCAGCAGCTTGCGGCAGTGCATGCACACTGTCGGCTTGCGGTACGTGTGGATGACGAGCGTGTGCGGCACCTTCGGCCGACTCGCCATGTGCTTCTCCATCCAGACGGGACGGCACGACCACGACGCCGACCGCTCCCGGTCCTTGCCGCGGCTCGGACTCGGAAGCAGGGAGTTCTGCGGGAAGACAAGGGATAATGGATAACTAATAATAATAATAATAATAATAATAATAATAATAAAGGGAAAATAAAGGCTGATAAGCATGACCACGGCGCCGACCGCTCCCGGACTCGGAAGCAGCGAGTTCTGCGGGAAGACAAGGGGGATAATAAAGGGATAATCAAGGGATAATATAGGGATAATAAATGGATAATAAAGGGATAATAAAGAGATAATATAGGGATAACATAGCTAGGTATAATCAAGGGATAATATAGGAATAATATAGGGATAATATAGCTAGGTATAATCAAGGGATAATATAGGGATAATAAAGGGATAATCAAGGGATAATATAGCTAGGTATAATATAGGGATAATCAAGGGATAATATAGGGATAATATAGCTAGGTATAATCAAGGGATAATATAGCAATAATCAAGGGATAATATAGGGATAATAAAGAGATAATAAAGGGATAATCAAGGGATAATATAAGGATAATATAGCTAGGTATAATAAAGGTATAATATAGGGATAATAAAGGGACAATACGGGGATAATAATTATAGGGATAATCAAGGGATAATAAAGGAATAATAGAGAGAGGGGTTGATAAGTTCGACCACGGCATCGGCATGATTCGTAGGAGAGCGCGCCCGAGTCGCATCTAGGGTTTACTCCCACACATCAGAGGCCAGACACATGCCCACACACAGCAACGCCATCTAGTGAGAGACTACGTCGCACGACGCCCCCCTCGATGTGTCCGCGCGACGGGTTCACGCGTGAAATAGTAGCGAGACCTAAAGGGCCGGACACACTAGGCGATTTTCACCGGCGACTCAGTCGGGCGACTCAATCGCCGGTGAAAATCGCCTAATGTGTGCAGTCAGTCGCCGCCAATTTTTGAGTCGGGCGACTGAGTTGCCCGAATCAAACATGGTTGATAAAATCGGGCGATTATTTCAGTCGCGCGACTACAATCGCCTAGTGTGTCCGGGTCGGCGAATGAGTCGCCCGAATGTACAATTTATCAGCCAATCAAACGGTGCCATTTTCAATCATGTGACTATCAATCTAGGTGGCGCGAGTGTTTTAGTGTTGCAGCGGGAAAAAAATCGCCAATGAATCGCGCTGATATTCGCCTAGTGTCTCCACTCAGTCGCGCGACTCACTCGCCTGAAAAATCGCCTAGTGTGTCCGGCCCTTAAAGCTTGGGACACACTAGGCGATTTTTTAGGCGATTGAGTCGGGCGACTGAGTGGACACACTAGGCAATTTTCAGCGCGATTCATCGGCGATTTTTCTCCCGCTGCAACACTAAAACACTCGCGCCACCTAAATTGATAGTCACATGATTGAAAATGGCACCGTTTGATTGGCTGATGAATTGTACATTCGAGCGACTCATTCGCCGACCCGGACACACTAGGCGATTGTAGTCGCACGACTGAAATAATCGCCCGATGTTTAATTTGGGCGACTCGATCGTTCGACTCGAAAATCGGCGGCGACTCACTGGACACACTATAGGCGATTTTCACTGGCGATTGAGTCGGTGAAAATCGCCTATAGTGTGTCCGGGGCGCACAATTTTTTTCCCCCCACGAGTTCCGGATTACAGCCAATCAGCGCACTCCATTCACTCGACTTCCTCGAAGCAACAATGAAAAATGAAACAAATGCTGTTCATATGATGCCACTATAAACCATATATATGTACTAACCCTAACCCTAATCCTATACCTAACCCAACACTAAACCTAAACCTAACACTAACTTTAAACCGACTCACACGCTTATATACAAACACATCGTACAAAACACTATCTATGGTGTATCCGGAACTCGCGTGGGAAAAATAATTTCGCGTCCGGGGCTTTACCGACGACATAACTGCATGGTAATGCGGACTGGTGCAGACGCCGGTCCGGCTGACCCGACGGTGACAGCTACGGGGATAAACACCTCGAGTCAGACGACCACGCCTAAAGCCTAGCGCAGACCTGCGACTTTTTCATGCAACTCGACAGCGATTCTAGAATCGCTGTAAAAATTGCTGTGAAATCGCTACGTCTGCGGGAACGTGCAACTGCAACCCCGTAGCGATTCTGGTCGCTTGCGACGAGTTGCAAGAAATCAAACTGTTTTGATTTTGAGCGACTCGTCGCACCCAGTTGCTCTAGCTCGAGCTATCTCCCCCTCTGCTTCGAAATCGCATGTGTGCGCACACGCGGTGGCACATCGGCCGATCGCTTGCGGCTGTAGGTTGCAGCGACGAGCAACCAAAAATCGCGGGTCTACGCTAGGCGAACAGGCAACAGCTGCAAGGCGGGACACGCCTTATACGGAATTCATTGTTTTAAGAAGTCGATAACCGGTCAGGGCTAAAACCGAAATGAAATTATAATGTGTGGCACGTAGCATTGTATACTCAGCTATCTTACAGTGGATGTCTTACAAAAGGCCGCCTATTAAATTTGGACTAACTTAAATCTATTGTTTGCGCTGCATGTACTGTATCGCCATGAACATATTTAGCACTTACTATAAATAGTACCAGGAGTTAATAAAGACAAATATTTGTCTTTATTGTCTCCTGATAGTACATATACATATATACACACGCACGCACGCACGCACGCGCACGCGCACACACATACATATATATATCAAGAGTACATAATATAGACTCTATACTCATATACTCATATACTATATACCACATATAATCTAGTTACATGATAAAACTATGCACCTGGTAGCTGACATTTGAGATTGCAGAGGCCACATCAAGGTCATCTGTAGAGACTTTGGCCTCTAGGGACTTGGATATAGTGTAAGAAGATCTTCGCTTATTGGCTGAGCAGTTGTTAGGTATTTTATATGCACATCTTTTGTGAAAGTTCAAACCACAATCTGAAATGATGAAAAGAAATCGTACAGATATCGCTTAGTAGATGTTACCCAGATGTTACAGTTATCCAATCCAGCAGCATTTTTGCATAATAATCGGAAGCTTATACATAATACCAGGAGCGTATAATGACAAATATTATATTTGTTGACATATATTTGTCATTATACGCTCCTGATAATACATAAGACATCCCACACTTATACAAAATAGCCAACCTGCTGAAACGTATAAAGTGTACCTACCTCTAATCCTCCATTCTAAACTTCCGAACCATCACATTCATCTCAATCCTCGCGATAGACAAGGACTTACGAACATTAAATCCTCCACGACAACACTAACACATTCTTATATTCATTATTCGTTAGAATTACCTATCATCATTCACCCATGACTAATTGACTCATTACTATTTGCAATATTAACTAATGAAGCAGATTAACACACAGGTTTTGTAATTAGGCTAAAGCTTGCAACCAATGTCATCATCATCACACACCCGCAAACGATCAACTGTAGTTACAGTTGATTTCAATGAAATCCAGCTGCCGAAAATGAAGCCGCTCCCTCAGCCTCCGATCATCATCAGCGAATCCTCGGACCGGGTCTCGTTACTGTAATTATCACCCGTGCCATCTAATTTCCTGCCTCTATTCTATTATTTTTCCTGGCGCAGGAAAATGGCAACAATAATCACATTTTGCACAGGTGCCGAATAAACCTGATTGCATATCGCAGGTAAACATGCCTCGATGCATTCGCGTGCCAAATCATATCTACAGGGTTATTTGGTCAACTGTATAAAATCAATAGACATACAGGAAATATAATCGTGTATTCATGTTATGGAGATACACGCTTGTGTACACTGAGCCGTACTGGCGCGAACGAACGGAGCTGCAGTGTATGATTCATCGTAATTGCTACCATGTTATCAGTGGTTATATACCTTAACCACCAACTCTTCGCTTTTCTCCTCCCCCTCTCTAGCCCACATCTCCTTTAAACACCCCCCTGATGATTGATCTCCAGCAAAAGTACATAATAGAGGACAAGAGAGAATCTCTATTATGTACTCAGGCAGCACTAGAGACCAAACGTCAGGTCGTCGCCGCGCAAAATTGCATTAAAAGTACCCTGAGAATTAATTAATTAGGGGGAAAATATCACGGTGGTGCAGCAGACCCCTAGAGATAACGACAGCATCATGATCGATCTAACAAGACTTCAGCCATTATCATAAACAATTACCAGATCCCCGCATCTTCATTGGAAAGTACCAATGAGTTAGACCGCCCTGCTGTGCGCATAACAATGAGTCACTTTGGCGGGGAGAACTCTTGCAAGAGATCGAGCAACAAAGAGACCGCAAGCTGCCGCACGGGTTAATTACCTGTAGTAATTAATTATAATGCCTCTACATCGCACAGATCTACTCATCTCATCAGGAGTGTATAAAATAAATAAATAAATAAATAAATATATATATATAATATATATATACTATATAATATATATAGAGAGAGAGAGAGGAGAGAGGGAGAGGAGAGAAGATGAGAAGGAAGCAGAGAAGAGAGAGAGAGACTCGAGATGAGACGCACGTCCAAGGAGACGAAGAGCAGGAGACGAGAGTGGGCCAGCAGAAGAGCGAGAGAAGTCAAGAGAGAGGACCGAGAGCGAGAAGAGAGAGAGCGAGAGACGCCGAGAGAGGAGGAGAAACGACGAGAGGAGAGAGAGAGACGAGACCTGGAGAGACCGCAGACGACTGATGCCAGAGAGAGAGAGAGATAGATAGATTGTATTTTTAAGGTCTCCAGCCAACATTACATTAAAATTTGCAACAATATTTGCATACAACGGCGACAACATGCATATCGCCACATATTCAATAACTATAGATAACATCACAGCCTCACTAGTACCTCTCACAGTGCTAATACTCTCACAGCCTCACTAGTACCTCTCACAGTGCTAATACTCTCACAGTGCACTTTCTAAGTACGGACGGTTACCTTAGCACTTAAGTCCCTGTTTCACCAGACCAAAGTAAGATGACAACCCCACCCAGCCTCACTAGTACTTACCTCTCACAGTGCTAATACTCTCACCGTGCACAGCTAAGTACGGGACGACTCGCCTTAGCACTTAAGTCCCTGTTTCACCAGACCAAAGTTAAGATGCAACCCCAACCCACCTCACTAGTACCTTACCTCTCACAAGTGCTAATACTCTCACGTGCCCCACAGCTAAAGACGGCGACGGACTCGCCTTAGCCACTTAAGTCCCTGATTTCACCAGGCGGGGGGACCCGAAGTAAGATGACAACCCACCACCGGCCTTTCACTAGTACTATACCTCTCACAGTGGCTAATACTCTCACCCCGTGCACAGCTAAGTACGGGACGACTCGCCTTAGCACTTAAGTCCCTGTTTCACCAGACCAAAGTAAGATGACAGCCCCACCCCGTCTCACTAGCACCTCTCACAGTGCACTGCCAACTAGGGGACGGTTACCTTGGCAAACCGTAACCTGTGTCGTCCCTGTTTCGACACCCTCACTAGCACCTCTCACAGTGCTAATACTCACACAGTGGCGACTTACCTTGGCACTTAAGTCCCTGTTTCACCAGACCGAATAGCATCTCCCCGCAGAAATCACAGAAGGCAGGCGTCTTGTAGGAGTACACGTAGAGAGTGTGCGGCGCACCTGTACATCCTCCATCACGGCTTTTCGCTGCGCAAACAAGCAAGCAACCTTTTTGAGTCTTTTTCTATCTATTTATTTAATTTTTTTTAATTTTTTTAAAATTTATTGTTTATTTATTTTATTATGTTTTATTTATTTATTTATTTGGTTACATGAGCTTGCAAGTTCCGCGCTGTCAGTTCAATAGAAAAACAGTTCTTAATTAAAAGTGCTAGTTTTAACAAGTAAAAAAATTTCGCTTCTACTGCGACCCGCAGCGTTGATCTGTCTATTTGTTCAACATTTGTCTCTTTCCGTCTTCGATATAGTCCCTTTAAACTTTCCGTCTTCGATATAGTCCCTTTAAACTTTCCGTCTTCGATATAGT